TTGTATCCCTAGCCTGTCCTGCGGTATGACTGGCCTCGCCCATAATTTGGTATCATCCGCAAACTTGGCCAGTTCACATCTGACTCCTGAATCCAGATCATTGATGAGGATATTAAAGAGTACCGACCCAAGTACCGACCCCTGAGGGATTCCACTGGTCACCATGCACCACGTTGATTTGCTCCCATCAACTAGTATTCTTTGGGTCCAATCCCATAGCCAGTTGCCTAGCCATTGGACCATATGATGATCAAGGCCACAGTTTCCCAGCTTAACCATGAGGACATCATGGGGAACTAGGTCAAAGGTTTTCTTGAAATCCAGTTATATGACATCCATGTTATCTCCCTTGTCCGGGGCACATGTTACCTGGTCATAGAAGGAAATGAGATTGGTCAGGCAAGACTTGCCAGTCACAAATCCATGTTGGCTAGCATTCAGAAGCTTGCCTTTTGTTAGTTTGGTGTTGATGGATCCATTGACAATTTTCTCCAGGATGTTTCCAAGGTTGGACATCAGGCTGATTGGTGTATATTTCCCTGGGTCATCCCTCCTCCCTTTTTTGTACATAGAGACCATGTTGGCTTTTTTCCAGTTATCCGGGACCTCACTCGAGCACCACAAATTTTCAAATATCTCTGCCAAAGGGGATGCAATGATGTCTGTGAGCTCTTTCAAGACTCTCAGGTGCATTCCATCTGGGCCCATGGACTTGTAAGCGTCCAGTTTCTCAAGGTGTTCCCTCACCTGATCCACATCTATTTTGGGCTCGTCACCTGCTTCTGGATTGGTTTGTGCCATTCCTAACAATGTGATCCCCTTGGGAGGGTGAAAAACTGATGCAAAAAATTAATTTAGAGATTGGCCCTTTCTTGTGCCTCGGATGTCAGTTGCCCTGTTGGATCTCACAGGGGCCAAGTGCTATCTTTGTTCTTTTTTCTGACTTCCCACATATCTGAAGAAGGCCTTTTTGTTGTCCTTGATTCCTGTAGGTAGCCTGGGTTTGGTTTGTGCCTTGGCTTTTCTTGACTACTCTCTACAGGTGTTGACGAGTGCAGAGTAAATCCTCTTTGGTAATGCTTCCAGCTGGTGTAGGCTACTCTTTTGAGCTTAATGAGGTCCAACAATTCCTTATTCAGTCTTGGGAGCTTCCTTGCCCGTTGACTGCATTTCTTGCGAGATGGTATGGCTTTGCCCTGTGCTTCAAGGATTGTTTTTGAGAGATGACCATTCCTCATGTACTCCCTTTACTGGGGGAGTATAGCCCTCTAATTGCCTGACTGACCAATTCTCTCAGTTTGCAAAAGTCAGCCTTGCCAAAGTTAAGGACAGCCCTGTCAAGAAGGTCAGCCATTCTGGCTGAGAAAAGCTTCTTTCCTTTCCAGGTGAGGTGGAGGCCATCCCTTCCCAACAGTCTGCTCTCTCTGAAATGTGGACTGTGGTCAAGGAATCCAAACCCCTCACAATGGCACCATTGCCAGAATCTTCTATTCACAGCACCGATACACCTATCCCTCCAGAGCCCATATTCTGTGACAGGGAGGATTGAAGAAAAAGATATCTGGCCCCAAGACCCTTGAGCCCAGCTTCCAAAGCCCTGTAGTCACACATGACCTGGCCTGGACTTCTCCATGCCATATCATTGGTGCCCACATGGATGGTGGTTGGAGGGCCAGATGAGTTTGGGGATTCTCTCCATCACATCCCAGACATGAGCTCCAGGCAGGCAGCAGACCTCATGGGCTACAGGGTCAGGGCAACAGATGTCAGTTAGTCCTCCTATGGAGGGAGTCACCCACCACGATAACTGCATCTTCTTCTAGGTGCAGGTGCTGGTGGCCCTGTGTCCTTGCATGCTGGAGCCAGTGGTATGGCTGGCTCTGTTGATGCAAGAGGTGCAAAGTGGTTGTGCAACTTCAGGGGAGTGGTAACCCTGGTTCTGTGCCTCTTTGGGCCAGAGACAATTGTCATCGAGGCAGCGCCAGGACGGACTTCATGGCAATTCCTTGTTTCCACCACTCTGTCATGGGCCATCAGGTGAAGAGCCTGAAAGTAAGAGTCCAGCTCCTGCTCCGTGTCTCTAATGTAGTGCAGCCACTGGACTGTTGCCTGGAGTTTCCTAATTTGGCACTCCAGGGACTCCACCATTGAGCACACCCTAGAAGGGGAGGTATGAATACTCCCTAACACAGCTGCCTGCAGCCAGCAGCTCCATCTGAGTGGAGGCTGGGGCCATGCCTGGGCAGGAGCAGGGACCACAAGCTCCATTTGGGTATAGGCTGGAACCATGGGCTCCGTTTGGGTGGAGACCCTGGTGGTGTCAGAGCAGGGGAAACCAAGTGCAAGGTGGGGAGCCTCACGGTGTGATGTGTCCCACCCACCATGGTCCTTGTAGTAGTCTGGCTACTACTGTGCAGATGCTTGGCTATGGCTCAGTGCCTGGAGCCTTAGGCCCTCCTGCTCACTGTCCTGTGCAAGCTCCCATGCTAACTCACACGCTGGGCAGACAAGCGTGCCTGTTTGCACGTCCTGTTCACGCAGCTCTGGTCAAGTGGCTCCCTGTGGGGCTGAACGAAGTTGGAGCCAGGGTGGTGTGAGACCCTCCTCAGCTCCTCTCAGCTGCCTCCCCACAGCTGTGCTAGCCCCCTCCCACCACAGGCCCTGCTTAGCTCTGGCTGTGCTGGGGGTCAGATGAGGGTCCTCCATGGTTACTGGGGGTCGCTGGGGGGCTTCAGGGTGCGGGGGCATGACAGGCTCTCACCCGTGTGTCTCTTGCCACTCCTGGAGCCTAATGGATACTTTTCCTTCACTTTTCATTTCCTCTGGTATCCACACACTTGCTTTCTTTGTGTTCCAATATGTTCTTACCTTTTATCTTCTTGTTTTATTTTTGTCATGCTTCTCCAATTTTCTGAACTCTTGTTCCTCTTTTCTTATTCAGAATTCTGCATAGTTCTCTTCTTCTCCTCAACCATCTCAAAGGGGTTAATTAATCTGGGGGTAACATGAGGGTAGCTGAATTTTCTTCTTATAGTAGAATGCCACTAATGAACTAATCCAAAGACATTTGATGCTAATAGGAATCTTTTCATTGACTTCAGGGGCCTTTAGATAATGGCCTAAAAGAGCAAAGAAGAAGACAGCTTCCTGCCCAGAAACAACAGAGGAATGGGTCCCCTTGCAGCAAAGAGGTTGTAAGTGCTGCTAACTCCACTTAAAAAACCCAAAAAACTTCATTAAAATTGAGTATTTTGATCATAAGTTCAGTCAGTCAGCTGCAGGTAGTTCTGTGCTAGGCTGAGACAATAAAGCACCAACAAATTCAAAATAACATGGCTTTGAATTACCATTGGTAATATGAAAAATCATACAGGAGCATATTTAGGTATGCTAAAAATATGCTAGCCCTTCACAAGATTCATCATAGGCAAAGTAACTAGATGGATTCTTGGTTGGGGACATATATGCCACAAAGTGAAATCTATCTAGCAGCAGCGGCCGCCAGGTATTCTTTCTTAGAATCCAGCCAAGAGTAAATAAAGTTACAAGCAAAACACAGTTTTGGATCCTTTCTAGGGTTCAGCAACATATGGCCCACAGAGAAGCCTGAGAAACTGGCCAGGCAACTGGGAGAGGTAGCGGCAGGGGGCTGGGTCTGAAGCATTTCTCTAGCTGGGACTCAAGCCAGGTTGATCTTGCCTGCAGCCCCAGAACCTCGCCGACCACTGCTTTATGCTAATATATTGTTGTGGTCTTCAATTCCTGCACAATCTTGCATATGTGCTGCACTACTGATGCACAGTGGGATGACTTCGCAGATGGTGCATCATCAGAGGACACAGGAAGGGACTTCAGCTGGTTGAAGCAGCTGCTGAAGCAGCTAAAGAAGGGGCTTCCACATTGAGGAGGAGGAAGATGTAAAAAGGGGCCAATCCACAGCCACTCTTTCCACAAGCACCCACCCCAGATGAGAACTGAGGGAAGGAGACAACACTGGGCACATGAGACCCTAGGTGACAGCTGGCAAAATTAGAAATATATTAATTCACAATATATATGTCATTCATATTTTATAAATGCACTGTTCATTAACAAACATAGGCTACTGGGTCATTTCTGTTTCTGCTGTCTGCTCTCATCAGCTCTAATACTAGCTACCATTTTTGGCAATGATATATCTGAGAGAAAAGATAAGCTGTTATAATATCTCTTTTTTATCAATCCAAGACACTTTCTAAAATCCTAGTACAAATATAAACGGGGCAAAAGCTTATGACCTAGCATCTAGGTATATATTTATTTTATAATATATAAAAAAGGATTGAACATATGACTAGAAAATATGGAGGACTGGATTTTGCCCTAACTGTCTCTCTTGTGGGTCTGTTCATTAGTTCAAGGGTTCCTCAATGCAGTCGGGTCAACAAAGATGTTTCCATTACCTCTCTTCTACCCACAGTCTTGGCATGAGAAACTGCTGAATAAGTCTTTTGAGAGACCTCTTTGAGTTGACCCTTCAGACTGCTTTGGTGTCCAGTGATTTGAAGACTGGAAGAATGAAAATGGCTTAAAGCTTCCATCTTGTTTCCTTCACCTGAGCAGTAATGGGTTGAAATAACAGATATGTGATGCTCTTGCACCATATGCTGTTTTACTGAAGCCTGAGGATGTTTTGTCATTGACTTTGTGGTGGGGCAAGAGACAACTGTCACTTTGACCATTTCAGCTAAAATGAAGGTTCTGTTGATTTCAACAGTGAAACTCTAGTTGACATCAGTGGTGCCAAGATATGATTACCTCCCTCCAAAATCTGCTGAATCATAAGAATTAGCCTTCAGTTTTATGATGCATATTAAGTAGCAGTGTCTACATTCAGGTTTTATCTTTTTGGACACCACATGTGAGCTCCTCTACATTTGACATCTTACAGGGTAGGGTGCAAAGTCTATATCTATACTCTACTGTCCCTTGAGTAATTTCTATTATTGATCTGCTTGCAGCTTCTAGAGCTAAACTCAGCATGATCAACACAATGTCAAAAATTCGAGGCCAGGAAAAAGGACCAGGCTACCCTCAGGCTGAAGCCCTGCTGGCAGATGCTATGCTGAAGTTTGGACGAGAACTCGGAGATGAATGCAATTTTGGTAATTTGTTTTCCTTCTTTTTTTATGATGTGAATGCAGTAATGTTCCAGTTAATGAGGAGCTTAAGAGAACTGTGCATAATGAATGCAAAGTTCAGATTTAGTCAGTTCACAGTTGGCCTTTGCCAATCAATATCATGTGGATCCTACAACAGTCCAGGACAGGAATTAAGAGCATGTGTTTTGGGGTTTTTTGGGGGGGAGGGGGGTCGGGGGGGCAT